ACTATAACGCTTGCGATCGTGGTGAAAGAATTTGCCAATCGGCGTCATGTACTCGCTAACTGTTGCCTAGTGTGGGCCAGAAGTACAGTAAAGGAATGGTACGTCGTGGCAGGAGGCCCTTTACGTGCACCCCATATTACATAAGTAAACTTATTATTTCCCAAAAACTTTCCTTTATCACCCCGACATTCCTACCGTTTGTGTGCATATACAACTATGTAGTTTCCAAAGGAACCCGACCCCCACATGTTTTTTAATCATTTTGACATGCATTCCTCATTTTATTATATCTTATTTTTATTTATAAACTTAAACCAATTAATTATATTCATATCACAAAAAATATGAATGTGAAAATTCTATACTTCGTAATTAATATTAGGGGTTAAAGTATGAAATTGCCGTTTTATTGCAATAGGTTCTTTGAATTTTCATAGAATCTTCATGGTTTGAGGTTTTCGAATGAAACTTTTTTCAAATGGTTTCTGTGATTTTTTTTTTTAATTTGAAACATTTGAATATCGACTTTCAATTGTTTTTGTTATTCAATTTAGACAAGAAAGATGGATACTGCGAAAATTCGAGTGATTTTTGAATACGAGTTCCGACGCGGAACTAACGCGGCAGAAACAGCCCGCAATATCAATGCTGCGTTTGGAGAGGGGTCTACTAATGAACGCACCGTGCGATTTTGGTTTAAACGCTTTCGTGATGGAAATTTCGACTTAAAGAACGATACACGAGGAAGACCGCCCACACAGGTGAATAACGATGAATTAAGAGAGATAGTGGAAGCCGATCCTAGTCAAACTACCCAGGAATTAGCGGCATGGTTTAACGTTACCTTACCCACAATATTGACTCACTTGCGTCAAATCAATAAAATAAAAAAATACGAAAAATGGGTGCCTCATGATTTGACTGATCTGCAGAAAGAAACGCGTGTTGAAACTTGTGTTGCCTTGTTGAACCGGTACAGAAATGAAGGAATATTGGATCGAATTGTAACATGTGATGAAAAGTGGATTCTTTATGATAACCGGAAAAGAAAAATGCAATGGCTGACCCCAGATCAAATGCCACAACAGTGTCCTAAAGCAAAACTTACCAATAAAAAGGTAATGGTAACTGTTTGGTGGTCTCAGCATGGTGTTATTCACTATAGTTTTCTCCGATCTGGTCAAGCAATAACGGCAGATGTCTATTGTGCCGAACTCCGAACCATGTTGACAAAACTAGCAGTAAAACAGCCCCGACTCATGAATCGATCTTCACCATTATTGCTCCACGACAACGCGAGACCTCACACAGCACGAGAAACCATTTTGACCCTTCAGGAACTGCAGTTAGAAACCATTCGTCATCCTCCGTATTCACCAGACCTTGCTCCAACGGACTACCATTTTTTTCGTGATTTGGACAATTATCTACGTGAAAAGAAGTTTTCTTCCCAGGAGGCAGTACAAAATGCTTTCACACAGTTTGTGCAGTCTAGATCGTCGGAGTTCTATCGCAAAGGCATTAATAACCTTCCCATTAGATGGCAGCAATGTATAGATAATAATGGCAACTATTTTGATTAAATAAATTTGTTAAAAATTTAAAAAATAAACAATTTAGATTTTCAGTACAAATCGGCAATTTCATACTTTAACCCCTATTATTTGGATGCTAATTCCTAGCACAACACACTTGAATATGTAAACTGTTTTTACTGTGTGTGCACACAAATAAGTTTATTTTATTTAAAAGTTCAAAGAAATCCAATACATTCATACTAAAAATAAAATTTATTGGTTGGGGGGCCGGTGGGGGGCCGGTTGGGAGGAGGTCAGAGGTTTGTGACCCACTCCCCAACCCACCCACACACCCGCTCACCCACCCCGTAAACTGACCACCTAACCCACCCCCTAACCCACGCGCTGACTCACCCCTAATCCACCCCTAACCGGCCCCCCAACCGAACCCCAAACAGCCCCCCAGCCGGACCACTAACCGGCCCGCTAACCGGGCCCCTAACCGGCTCCCCAACCAGCCCCCCAACCGGCTCCCCAACTGGCCCCCAACCGGCCCCCCAACTAAACTAAGTAACCTAACCCACCCCCTAAACCACCTCCTGACCCAACCCACCTCCTAAACCACCCCTAACCCATAATTACACCTAGACTCATGAGAGATAAATAAGTGTAGGTCATACAACTATTTCTCCCGGCCCGGGATACGAACCCGGGACCTCTGCGTGGCAGAACAGCAAACATTTTAGGTCGGTATTTTTCATACAACACATGAAGTTTTGTTTTATAATTACAAGTGACGGGACGAATAAATCGTGCGCCTGGTGGTAAGCGACACTCCTGTCCATAACAGTTACACGCTGACCCAACCCTAACCAACTCCTAATTCACCCCTAACCCCCCAATCCAAACCCTACCTCACCCCCTAAACCACCCCTAACCCCCACAACCCAAAGCCTAACCCACTACCCTTTTTTATCTCTGGGAAACGCGTTACGCGTACCGCTCGGCTCGGGGGGAGCTGCGAGCGGTTACGTGTGACTCCCGGGCTCTAGCCCGGTATACACACTAAAACCCAGCGGTTAACCCCCACCGCCATAGCGAGGCGCCCTGGATCCGCTTACGCATACTACAGGAACGCCTCGGCGGATGATCCGCGTGAGCGGCCCCGGCCTTCAGAGAGTGCCCCGGGTCAACACAAAGGCACCCTCACACTTGTGAGCATAGACTTGGAGATAGGGTCCCCCGACCCAATTCCCCACGGCTCACTACAGCGGGGGAAGAAGGTGGGCGTACTGCCTCCTTCGTCTCCCCAGCCGCCGTCTTCGGAGCAGGTCAGCGAGGGGGTCGTCCTCTCTGAGCCGTTCCGAGGCCTCCTTGTGCGAAAGTACGCTTTCACAGAAGGAGGCCATTGCATCCCAACACCTCTGACTGTCGAGCATCGCGCTCACGATGGTCGTAGGCACGTGTCGAACAGTCCCTGGAGCAACTCATTTAGGCATTCCGCTGCCAAGTATAGCACCCGACTCGGAACGCCGTCCGGTCCCGGTGCGGTCTTTTTGCCCCGTAGTCGGAACAGGGCTGCTGATATTTCTCCCTCAGTAACAGAGGGGACCTGCGAGAGATCCTCCTCCGGTGAGGAGGGTGGGGCCATCACCGGGGGAGAGTGCTCAGGAGGGTCTGGGAAAAGCTCCCCTACGGGTGGTAGGGGAGCAGGAGATCTGGGGCCACGGTCTCCGTGATGGGAGCGCTTTGGGCACGGAGTTTCTTCCGCGCCGCACGATACGGACGACCCCATGAATCCCGATCTAACCCGGCCAGGATTTCTTCTCTGGCACGGCCTAACCCACTACCTAACTCAACCCTAACCCACCACCTAACTCACCCCATAACCCCCACAACCCAAACTCTAACCCACCACCTAACTCAACCCTAACCCACCACCTAACTCACCCCTAACCCCCCAACACAAACCCTAACCTCTCGCCGGTTGAGTCGGCGCCGTGGAATCGGTTAACATTCACCATGACGCCGCCCGACACAAACCCTAACCACCCCAACCCAAATCCTAACCCCCCCCAACCAAAATCCTAACCCACCCCCTAACTCACCCCCATATAAATTTATCATAATTGCCAGTTTTAATTGTTAATTGCTAATCAAAAACATTGACAAAATTGAAAATTGATTAATTGTTAATTGTAGATATACGCGATTAACGATTAATCAATTGTTAGTTGCTAGAACCGCGATTAACAATTAATTAATTGTTAACAGCAATTAACAGTTAATTAATTGTTAATTGCTGTTCTCGCAACTAACAATTGATCAATCGTTAATTGCTGTTTCGCAATTGACAATTAATTAATTGTCAATCTTTAATTGCCAGAACAATTACATTTTGCCGAACACTGATTTCCAATACAATAAATGTAACTTTTGTGTTTTTTTCATTACATATGCGAAAATGAACACCCAAATCTATTTTAGTGATCATTTTGTTTATGAAATTAAAATTGATGTTCAGTTGGTTTCTTTTTTCATTCAACACTTTTGCTAGTTTTTCGTCAAAACATACATAATATATAACTTTCGCCTGTACTAAAAAGAGGACCATTTTGATAAGTTGACCAATTAGGAAAGTGTACAGTGTGAACGAGTACACCAAACAGATAAAAGGACCACTTAGACAAATTGACAGAATGGAAAAATGGGTCATTTGGACAAGAGAAAAATATCTGACAGTTCTGAAGGGGAAAAAACTATTTCAAAAAGATAATAATAAATTGACAAAAACAAAACAAAGTCACGAAAATGAAATAAATGTGTGCCCTAAATAAAATTCATGAGCATAAAGTAGAAACTATACTATTGGTAATGGTTTTTTCCTATACCTACTAAGTGCTTGTATTTTATGGTCTCAACTTTTCCTTACAGAGGTCAATGTCTTGAGAATTTTCCTATTTCCTGCTATAGATAAAGCTCATCCATTCAGAAACAGGCTTAGTTCTTTGCATTCATACAACACTACAACAATAAGTAATTAAATGTAAAGACACTACAATAAAATATAAAGAGGATTTTACTTAAATTACATTATGCTTCTATTTTCTCAATGTCCCTTGACAATCATCAGATTTCCTAATGTACACCAATATTAATTTCCATGCCCATTAATTTTGCAGATTTAAAACCTACAATAACTTGAATTTTGAACAACATACTTCATTGTTGTTTTGTTTGTGTTGATCTCCGTGTGAAGTATTATACATATTGAGCTGTAAAACTGAGTGTATTTCCCTATTTTAATAACATTTGCTCCATGTCAATAAGCAAATTAACAAACATATAAAATAAATAAACAGCACTTCTTTTATAAAAGAAGTGCTGTTTATTTATTTTATAGTTATATATAACTAAAAATGAATATTTTTTCTGGTTATTACTCATTTCAATTTGGTCTGTATTTGAACACACTGTAAAAAACCGAGTTTTTGGACTGTTTGAAAATAACCATAATTGTCTTTCTCGAACTTATCGGCTTCTTGTAAAACATACATACAAAGTACACACTTTAAATTAGCTGTCATGCCTTTATCGGCTTTCCTCCCATTATATAATAAATAAAAATATAATAGCCCTCTATATACTTACAAGTCGACTGAAAGTGTCCGGTTTGTAGCAAAGGCAAAGGGCAACTGAACATAAGGCGACAACAGCCGAAACACGAAGTTTGCCGAGGGACATTGACAAAATAGAAGCACTTTACATATTTGGCCAATATCTTTTTTACAAGTTACAAGTTGCCATAAATATAAAAAATTACTGTGTATTAGGTGCAAAATGAACACTTATCTTTCAATAATATTAATTTAACAGTAAAACACACACACACACACACACACACACACACACACAAACACCCACACACACACATGAACTAATGAGAAATTATATTTCTAACATTTGAAATGTTGTTTAAAAAGTAAAGGATGATTGTTGGATTTAACTTGAAAGGTACTGTACTTGGTAAATTGCTACAAAATATAATATTTATCTTCAATAATGCTTTCATCATTATATTGACAGATACTGATATTTATGATTGTATGTATATAAAAGAGCAATGTATGTATTGTATGAGAAATCAAATAAAACATTGTTCATTACCTATTCATACACTTTGTTAATTGGAATTAAGTACATCTATATAAATAAGTTGTTTATGCTAAGAGTTCATAAGTGCAACTAGTTACTACTGTTTCTAGACTAATTTCTATAAGGTTTTAAGAAAGTACTTTAATTTCTTTACATTATAGAAAATCGTTCTCAGTGTGGAGGAAATATTATGCGGCCATTCGGCAGTATAACGGCACGCAATGTACAGTGGTCAGCACAGGTCTGTTGACAAACACTATAGACTCTTACTGTAGTTGCGATCTGTAGCATTTAAGTCTATAATGATTCACGTGAAGGTTATATTCGAACTCACTTGGGTACAACACAAACTGGTTTTAATTATCGTACTTGAGGAAACAAAATAGTCTTCAGTTTTAATGCCAAGTTTGTAACAATCTTTACACTGCCTTGATGTTATTTACGGCGAAAATCTAAGCTCGAACACTGGAATTTGCAATGATATGACATAATGTCTGAAAATATTTAGTAAACTTATAGCTTAATAAAACACTAATGGGTACAAATTATAATATAATAACTAAAATAAACTTACCCCAGTTTTCTTCTGTGAAAAACGATAAATGAATTCTGTGCGAATCGTGAAAGAAATCTGTCCAGCCAGTCTTTACCACTTCAGCCGTCAAACAAATTTGAGTTTGTGCGTCAAACTCCGATTAACTCGAATATAAAAAATCACAGTTATGTCAAGGTTTCCATAGTCTAGAGCAAGCACTAGCATCTGTCAAATTTGACACATTTATTGCGATTACAACGCTGTGCGCTCTTTTCTCGTGATCTGTGCACAAGGGAGGCTTACTTCAACTTCAACTTCAACTTTTGTATCTATGGCTCCTAAGTATGGCTCCGTCGTTTTGCGCGACGATTTCGCCAACGTCAGGGTTGACAGACATGTAGAGCGGTGGTGAGATAGATTGCCGGTTATTAAAATACATCGTCGGTTATTATTCACATTGATATATATATATTAATGACATTACAAAAATATAATTTGAGGGCTCATGTTATTTTCTTTCTCTTGGAAACATGTTAGGAAGTTTTATTTAGCGGGAAATAAAAAATAAAATCGTTTAGTAAAAACAAGTTAGGCATCGTTTTCGTTCAGTAACAAACTTTTGACCGGGGTCAACGTGGAAAATTATCATGGAGGATGGACAAAGAAATAAAATTATACGAAAGATAATAGGAGAATACGGAAAGAATGAAGAATATTCATTTTTCTAAAAAATTAAGATTTTCACAAATGGGAATTTTTCTCCGACTCATCATTAGTTGGGACAGAAAATTATGATATGAATGTGGTCGAGCGGAAGCTATTCGGAGCTGGTAACAGATTTATGTTATTAAGTTTTAGAAATTTGTATAAAGTGAATACTAGTGGAGAGTGTGCGTTGGCTAGGAAATAGTTGATATTTATTGGGCGAGGAATATTTTCGGGAAGCAAATCGTAAAGTGGGAAGCTTATTAGGGGGCAGTTAAGAAATAAGTGAATATAAATAAGCCTACGTCGATATTAGATGAATGACAGGCAAATAATAGTTCTTTAATTTGAACGGTGATATGGAAGTTATTTCTTGAGTGGAATAGTAACTTGATAATATCTTGCAGACAGCTACGGCAATCTGAGAAAATTATCGTCTTATTTAGTCGGTGTGACTTCACGTACAAGATGGCTTCCAGAACGGCGACAGATTCACCAGTCTACACAGTTGAGGTAGGAGAGCATTTAAAGCTTAATAGAACACTGTATTTTGGGATCCAGACCGCTGCACCGACATTGCCATCGTCCTGCAATTTTGAAGCGTCTGTAAAGATGGTGAGCCAGTAGTGCCAGTTATTGTTTAAGATCTTTGACAATTCGTAGTTAGCATTGACAGAGTCCTTACAAACACCAAAGTTGAGGATTACACGTGGCTGAAAGGTTAGCGCTTCAAAAGGGATCTGAAATAGGGGGTTTTTGGGAATTTTCACAATAGGGGAAGGGAGGTTTTTCAAGGTATTAAAGCTTTTAATTAAGGGTGGGGCTTCCCTATGGGCCCAATAGGGTGATGAAGCGACACCATCAGACAGGCTTTGTAGTTTTTCTAATAGGGGATGATTCGAATATTGGGCGATGTTAAATAAATATCTGTCGCTCATGAACTGACTGAGGTGTAATGGAGGATCGAGGCACTCGACTTGGAGGGCGTTTATAGGAGATTTCATGGCTCCATGGATGATTCTTAAACATTTAGATTGAATGAGGGTGAGTTTAGTTAGGGCCAATTTGCTACAGGGTTCTAGAATGAAGCTGCCGTAGTCGAAGTGGCTGCGGATTATTATAGCAATGTATAATATTTTTTGGTTAAAAATGAGAGAGTCAGGCCATGATCCAGAAGCCAAGTATGGAGGGAATTAAGAGCAGAGTTAATGCGAAACGTGGCATGAAGAAAGTCCTTGGAGGAGATGTATAAGGCTATATCATCGGCGTATTGTAAGACGTTACAAAAACATGATACAGTTTGGTTAAGGTCATATGTATAAAGGTTATATAATAATGGACTCAGCACAGAGTCTTGTGGAAGACCTTGCCAGATTGACCTTGGAGTTTCCAATTCACCATTGACAAGTACCGTGACAAACCTGGACATGAGTAAGCTGAAAATAATGTTAGTCAGCCTTACTGGAAGGCAAAGTTGAAGCAGTTTTCGTCTGAGCAAGGGGAGTTGGACACTGTCGTAGGCAGCTGAAATATCTAGAAAGACGCCTATTGCGGACTCGTTCATGGAGAATGCTTGGCAGATGTCCGTGGAGAAAACACTAGGCTGTCTAGGGTGCTCATGCTCCTTCTAAAGCCAAACTGAGTTCTTGAGAGGATACCCCTTTTCTCTACTATCCAGTCTAACCTGTTTTTAACGAGGTGTTCGAATATCTTGCACAGAGTAGAGGACAGGGCGATTGGTCTGTATGAGCTTGATTGATTTGGATCCTTGCCCGATTTTAATATTGAGATTACGATCTGAAGTTTCCAGGCAACGGGGACTGACCCACTCGAAAAAATGTGGTTCAAAATATCAAGGAATACTTTTTTAGCATGGAGTGAGCTGTTTATTATGAAACAATATGGGATACCGTCGGCGCCCGGGGAAGACCGTCAAGAGCAGAATATAGTTCAGCAAGTGAGAAAAGGGAGTCCATACTGTCTGTGGAATTGATATCAGAAAAGGTTAAAAAGTTATCTTTGCAGGGAACGAAAGAGGGAGCCAGCTTGCTGACAAATCCCGGGAGTCACTGGGCTGTGTCGTTGGAAGCAATATTATAATTATAGTTTTGAGAACGTCGATATGCGCTTAATTTTCTCCAGACGAGAGTAGGCGTAGTGCGGAAGGAGAGGGACTCACAAAAGTTTCGCCAACCTAACATCTTTTTTTTAGCTAAGAATCTTTTTGATATTGCTGTGATCTTTTGAAAATTTAGATATTTCGGGAGCAAAGTTAGGTCTTCACAGAACTCACTTCACTTGCGTTTTTAAATTTCTGCAGAACAGTCTAAATCCCACCAAGGCGGAGAGGAGATTCTGGACCGAGCGGAATTTTTAAGCGGAATAAAGTCGTTTGCAGCGGTTAGCAAGATGGAAACGAACACATTGTATATCTCAAGAAAATTGGAGTTGTCTATATCTTGAATCTGGGTTTCCAGGTTAGCATCGACGAGGCGGGAGAATTTGTCCCAGTCAGCCAATTTAACCCTGGGTCTGGTTTAGGGAGAGAAATACGGTCTAAATATAATAATATGGGAAAGTGATCGCGGCCGTGAGAGAAGCTGAGAGTTTGCTAAGTTAAACTGGCTAGTACATCTGGGGAGGCTAGAGTGGTATCTACGCAGCTCTTATTTTGTAGGGTAGAGACCCTACGAGAGGGTGAGCCGTCATTGCATACGCATACATTCAAGTCATCAAAGAGGTTGAGAAGGGCAATAGAGTTAGAACAGCAATGAGTGGAACCCCAAAGGAAGTGGTGATAATTAAAGGTGCCAAAAATAATAATACTGTCTGTGAAGAAAGAATGCAAGATTGTCTTTATTTCAGAGATGATATTTAGGTTAGGGTGAGGAACATAAATAGAAATTAATGATATGTTTGTGGATTTGATAGCTACCATTTGGAAGCCATCATTATGGGGCGGGAGAGTAATTTGGGAAAACGGAATTTTGAGATCGACCAAAATGGCAGTACCTGCCTTGCCGTCGTCTCTGTCGTCCCGGAGGCATGAATAACCTGGTATTCGAGAGGTAGAGCCAGGCTTAAGCCAGGTCTCCGAGACTGGTATTTGTTAATTAGGTAAATTAATTCAGGCTTTTTATGTCGGATACTTTTACAGTTCCACTGAAGAAAATTGACCATTTTGTTTGATGAGAGATATAAAAGATTATAGTACAGGGAGGACATTGGGCGGTATGATTTCGCTAAATCTGGAGACTATATTAATTAGAGAAGATAGTAGTAGTTCGATGAGGTTGTCATTGGGTGAGGGCGAAGGGGTTTTCTCTCGGGGGGGATTCAAGGCGCACCCATTAGGTAGTTCAGATATAAGGTTACGGGAAATATTTTGTACTTCAGCGTCATAGGTTCTGGACACAGAGGAGCGGCGAGGACAAACTGCGATTGGGGATTTATTATGGAATACAGGGGATCTATGGGTTTCATTAATTGATTGTCGAAATGTGGAAGATGGCTGGTATAGTGGAGAAGCGGGTTGAGAGGTCGCTCTAGACGTTGGGCTGCGGGCAGTCTCAGCATAGGAAGCTCGGACGGGTCGGAAGCGAGTAGCAGCTTCTGAGAAGCTGATGTTCTCCTCAGACAACGAGCTTTATTGCCTTTTGACGAGCGTGCTCTGGGCAGATGCTATCAGTAGCGCTGTGGGAGCCTCTGCATAATAAGCAAGAGGATTCGTCATCGGGAACAGTACAAGCTTCGCCGGAGTGTGCTTGAGCGCATCTGTAACACCTGGGTGCAGATCTGCATTGGTCGGATATATGGCCGAATCGGCAGCATTTCCTGCACTGAATAGTTGATAGTTTGTAGATTTCGACGGCTACTGAGGTATGGAAACAATAGACTTTCTCAGGTAAGCGTTGACCCTGGACAGTCATAACTACTGTTGTAGTGGGAATCCATTGCGTAGTATCGTTTAGGCTAACTTTTCTACTCAGTCGCCTATGTTTTATAACAGGGCCGCAATTACTGGAGAAGGATAAACCGGAAAACAATTCTTCTAAAGACCAGTCCGTAGGGATGCCCCGCAGGACTCCCATACGGCACTCGTGAAATTTAGGGATCTGTCTCAGGAAGTTGTCATCGAATGTTTTTGCCAAAAAAGTGTTCGCTTCTTCTGCTGATTTAAATTCAACTGCAATTTTATTACGACCTAGAGGTTTAATACCTCCGTCAACAATTCCTTTTGTGCCAAGCTTATGTAGCAACTGGGCCAATTTGAGAACCCGAATAGAGAAACCCGATGCTGGGTCAGACTCCTTACGCGAGATGTGGACTATAAAGGGTCCTACGTCCTGCGACGAGTATGCCAGGTCGGAGTCGCCATCAAATTTAGGATTGACGAAAGTGTTTTGGATCGAAGCGGATGAACGGACACTTTTTTTGGCAGAGTCTTTGTCTGGTAAGTGGATGGGGTCAGGACGCTTCTTGGACCCTAATGTTTCCGTGTCCATGCTTTGAGGTGCTGAGAAGAGTGGTTGGGATGGGTCATCCCAAGCAAGTGAGAGTCCGAGGCCGCCCCCATCAGAGGGCTCCTCTTCGGTCATAGCACTAATAAGATTTGTACTAACCCTGCTTACCAATTTGTTGGGGGCAGATAACCGTCAACAGTGAAAACAGCAAAATTGTAATGATTTTTTAAACTATAACCTCAACGATTTTCAATACTACAAGTGCTCACCACCGGTTACCAACCAGAATTTCCCGGAGGCTTACTTAAAATTTGCGACTTCATTATATTATTTCAATATAACTTTTGTATTCATAACTTTTTTGTTTTAGGCCATAGTTAATAAAACTTTTATCGTAAGAAATTCATTAGATTAAGCTAGTGCAGTCGATAAATATTATCGACTGAATGTTGGTTATGCTTATGAAATAAATAGCCCAACTTGTTTTATTTGAATCATCAACGGCCTTTTATTCGTCCAGCTGCTGGACACATGTTCATTAAGATTTGTGTTATAAAGAAAATAGGTTGTTAAAAAGAAATCTTAGAACAATCTAAAAGTGTCAGTTTTAGTCCTAGTTCATTTGTCCAATCCACGTTTAAGCACGTTCAAATCGTCAACAATAAAAATATACAAATACAACCGTACGCAGCTTTTACTTACCGCAGCCTTGTCGCGTTCACGCCAAATTCGCGCTTTGCGAAACCTATGTAGCGGGACAAAATGCCTGGCCTCTCCACACTCGCGCTCGATTCATACGCGAAGCCGCGAACTACCCGCGAAGCATGAGTGTGGATCCCATTCGTACATTCTTCGCGGGTTCGAGGCGCGTTCGCGGCTCGTTCCCTATTATTGTGTCTGCCCCGTGGCCGAACGGTTACCATACCGGACTGCCACGCAGAGGTCCCAGGTTCGATTCCCGGGCCGGGAGAAATATTTGTATGGCCTACAATTATTTCTCTCGTGAGTTTGGGTGTAATTTGTGGTTGTCTATGTGTGTGTCCATGGCACCCGCGACACAGGGTTTCCCTAGTGCGGGGCTATGTTGAGTGTGTGCGTTATTATATTATTATTGTCGGTATTCTACTATCGCTCTATAACATAAATTAGTCTGAAATTATGCAATTTTTATTTCCCTCTCCTGTTATTTACGGAAATGTGAGGACGTAAAATTTCGAACAGCTGATCACTGACTCTTGTCCCGCTGACCCATAGGTTTGCAATTAATTGCTGCACATACTTCTTTCAGTTCATAATACAAGTGGCCCATTTACAATGGTTCAAAATGCATTATTATTATCAATGGATTGGTCACACAAACCCCTGGCCTCCACGATCACCGGATATAAACGCGATCGTTTATTCATCTGGGAGTACATTCTTTAATTTGTGGGAAAGTGCGCCAGAACGAGACCTACATATACTACACCGAAAACTCCAAAAGGCAATAACAGTAGTACTAGAGAGTTGACAGGCGTTTCATAGGTTGAAAATAAGCTTGTAACGTCGATAAATTTTATTTCAAAGTACAAAGGTTTTGGTGAGTTGAGTAGAAATAAAAATTGGAAACAAGTACAATAAAATCATAATTTTTAAACTTTGCAAGCAAAACTTGCTGATCAAGCGTTTGTTTTATAAGGGTTACATGATATCGTCTATGTAAAAAAAATTGGATCACTGTAATGGGCCATTAGTGTTATAATACTGCCCTCGTGACAAAAAAAGTCACAGCTATGCGTACTTTACATAGTAGTTGTGCCTTTTTTCGTTCCGAGAGCAGAATAACAATCAATATAATTATTTAACACGCATCTTCTTGCACGTAGTGTACGCGACTTCCTCGGCTCATGTTTCCCTCTTTTTAGCTTTTATGCCGCTGTTCCGCAACAGTCTGTTTTTACTCTCGTGTAGGTATATCGTGTATATCCGTCTCCGAAATATAACGGTCGCTTCTTGTTCACGGTCAAATTCAAGGTCATTTACCGCCAAAATATTATGATTTTAGTTTTTGGATTGGATAGTCATTCGCCCTTTGCAGTCTGAAGACTACAAATTATCTAAAAATAATATATTATGATATCATTTTTAGATATTATGAAGTGATATTTTAAGTCGTATATGTAAATGAGTACGATTCTAACTCGGCGTGTGCATTGCGTGACGTGAGCGAATGAATGCCATTAATCATTTTTTTCATTTTTTTTTTATAACACCAAGCGACGGGACGAGCAAGTCGTGTGCCTGATTGTAAGCTACACGACTGTCCATAACAGTTACAGTGCCACTCAGAGCTTTAAATTGCAATCTGCAATCTGAGGGGCACTACCACTACGCCCGTCACCCTGAGACATAAGTTGACAGTCTCATGTGCCTGTAATTTCACCAGCACCCTTACCCATCAAAACCGGAACACAGTAATGCTGACATTATTGCTTGGCGGCAGAAATAGGTAAGGTGGCAGTACTTCCCTGGACGAGCTCTTTCACAATGAGCCCTACTGCTACTAAATACACCATGAACAGTGAACAAATATGTACAGGATCGACATGAAACAGTAACTACTGATCGATTACCTACTATTCCAAAATAAAATTGTCGTAAATAAATACCTACACGTGTTCATAAATACATTACGAGTGACGACCTCGCGTGGCCCAGCGATTACGACTGTGAGCGCTAGACGAGGAAATCCGGGGTTCGATTTCAGGTAAAGGTAATAATTCCCGTTACTTGATGTCATGTGCCTGCACATTATAATTATTATCATTAGCATAAAATATGTCAACAAAAATGTTTCACAAGTGACAATCTGACTGCTACTAATTCCACAAGGCGGTTTAATTCGTTGATACCGTAAATGGATCGTATGTCCTTCAGAATAAAGGCATATGTGCGCAGAAACGAACTCCTGCTTTGATTATGTTAGAACGATTTGTCCAACTGTCTGCCCTTTAGCTAAAATCTTATCAATAAAAACTCAAGCAAATAGTAATACTTCCGATATGGCTCCAACAACGCAGCTAAATGTACTACGCGACCTTGTTGCCCTTCTTGGCCCTTTCAAAGAAGGCACTGAAAAGATAAGTGGTGCAAAGTATGTGACTGCCAGCTTAGCCATTCCTGTTGTAAATTCAATTCGACAAATATCTGAACTAGCAATTTCTTTGACCACTTTAGGAATAACAGTAAAAGAGGATTTACTCAAAGGATGGACTCTCGGTTCAAGTGTACCTATACACTTTGTTTCTCCAATTGCGGTGTCAAATGCTATATTGAACATAAGTAATGATATTCGATTAGAACATAGACGTAGAGGGCAACTTTCTCTAGAAGTAACATCTCGTGCTGCTTGTGCAAGAAAAAAACGTTGATCAAACTTAAAATTGGGCCAGACATGAGAGATTTTTCCTACCGGGGTAGGCAGACACTACCGCCTTCCACTAGCTACGATCCTGATACATATCTTTCGACTCATTCACTTGTGTCAATGCTTTTATACTCGGTCGTCAGATAACAGTAAGTACTTTTAATTGGTTTTTAATAATTTTAAAAAGTTTCAACACGTTCATAGCCGTGTAATTCAGATACTCTACGAGAGGAGACGTGACTTTCACTTCCCGAATTTTACTTTATATGTATAATTACTTGGTACTTGGTGCAACGGGCTGGTATCCAAAACTGGACGACAAAGCGCCTATTGTAAATGTATACTTAATAGATATAGCTTGGAAATATTTTTAGGCTAGTACTGGCTTTGGGAAAACTATCAATTTCGACACTTTTTGTAAATATCGATAAGATATATATCGATATATTTTATTTTTGTCAATTGCCCATCCCTAATTACTGTCAACTCCACTCAAGGAAGCGTCACATTGATCACTCGTATACACTACCTTATGAGCAAAGATCTAATAAAGGTGCAGGCCCTCGAAACTGCCATACATCGATTTTTTTATATGAAACTAGACCATTTTTACTGCCACCCACACAAAAAAATAACATGTACCGCCATATGCAATATATTTTTTTTTAATTGGCAGATTTAGAATATAAGTACTTATTATCCATTTGCGTTTTCCGTGATCTTGGTGTAATTATACCACATTAACATATTATATACTAGATATATGTCTATTTTATATGTGTTACAAAAGGATTTTAGGTCTATTTAAAATAATTGTAATTGGCTTAATGAGACGAAATGAAACTGCTTATTATGGCAATACCTATAACCTATCAAATCCCGAATGGCGGCTATTTTTCTTGTCTGTTTTCCGTATCAGCTGCTCTGCGCCTGCGGTGTTTTGTGTTTATTCTGCATATTTGTCCTGCGATTATGTTCAAGTAATTTTCAGTTGAAGGTAAATATGGTGCACATTGTTAAGTTTCCAGTAGAAGCTGCATATGGTGCATTTTGTTAAGTTTCCATTAGAAGTATGGTGTTTTTGGGCCCTTAAATTTTTGAAAGCAAAATTAGCCTGTACTGCAATGATGTTAAGATTTAAATTAAATGTTTTTTTTTTAATATTTCATTACATGTCACCACATTTGTATAGGTTAACTTTGGACATTTTACAAGGTAGAATCTTAAAATTAAAGATTATTTATCCTTTTCTAGTGAGTTGGGTTAATATATAAGGTACAACAATTAAATTGATGACCAGTTTGCGTATGCATCCTCTGATATTAATCTTTCATGTAAAATCTTTTTAACTAAAAAACTATGAAAATTTGTTTGATAAATAAGTATCTATACTTTCAGCTGCAAGGAGTGGGTTAGAGCTGTTGGCATTGAAGATTTGGCACATATGCCTATTGAAAAACTTAATGAACGACACCATATCTGCGGAGATCACTTCGAAAAAAGTCATTTTAGTAAGGAAATGAATCGTTTGAAGAATATTGCTGTACCTAAACTGCAATTATCCTCACCTCCACTGACTGATAAACAACTTCAACATTTTCCTCTGCATACTGCTGCAAAGAACAAAACAGGTTTGTCTTATGATACCGAAAATACATTGGATGAAAATGAATTGCAAAACTGCTTCCAAACCAGCGAAAACCAGTCCGCTCTACGATGCCGTACAGAATCCTACAGCGGGCTTGTTTTCAACTTAACAATGATTCTAGTATATAATAACGCGAAATTGAAAACATAATATTATTTTCTTTTAAAGACTTAATTTTTGACTTGAACTGATGTCTCAAATAATTAATTTATGTGTACTTTGTGTGTCAATTCAATTTTAATTGATTTTAGTGCCTATACCTGATGCACCAATGGCTTCCACAAGTAAAGAACATCATGTTGCTGACCCTGTCCTGAGTAAGTTTTTTGTAGACTTAATCTATAAATTTTGAAATTATTTCTAATTACATGATTACTTTTTATATTTCTCCTAACAATCATAAAATTTAATTTCAGTACCTGACACGTCAATGCCTTCCGTAAGTAAAGCACCCTTGATTGCTGATCCTAAATTGGGTAAGTTTTTTATAGACACTATAATCTAAGTTCTTTTTACAGCAAGAAATGATTTTATGTTTATTTTTAAAGTGTGTTCAGTCAGGTACAAACCTGACGCTTCATTACCTTCCACAAGTAAGGAACACCTTGTTGCTGATGTTGTCTTAAGTAAGTTTTTTCTAGACACTATAGTTTTTTTTTATAAATATTTACTTTACATGAATATTTCTTGTGTATTTTTAAAATTTAATTGAGAATTGTAATATTATTTGTGTATACAACAATTTAAACGTGTGCTGTAAGAATATATTGTTTTCTACAATTTGTAGCAAATTAATAAAACTATTTTAAGAAAATATTTATGACTACTTTTATTTCTTTTCTAATTATTAATAAGAACCTCCACAACCTATTATCAAAATTTTTTACTGTTGTCGATATATTATGGACGTCACTAGTATCGATAACGGAACGACATCACTAATATTGACTGACAGTTGTTATTTTTATGTTGCTTACTTTGATTGTCAAATAGGTTATTGTTCTTAAGTTGGCCCTGTCCGTTATCGGCGTAATGTTGGCTAAAAAAGAGGACTATCCTTCAAAAAATTTGTTTGGAGTGCCGACTCTTCAACGTAGTGGTTAGATCCTCTTTGTAAAGGTGCACGAACTGAGGTTTCTGGTATGTGTATCATCCTTTTCTATGTTTTATGTGATCGCAAAAGAGGATGCATATTAATATGAATTATTTCATTGCAGATACATATGTCTTGCCTACAATACGAGGTCAACTTGTGCCTGTTGCATCATCAAGTTCTGCACTGCACTATGCATCAGGTAATATTTGAAGTTGAATAAATAATTATTGTTTATGAAAGCACGACAATGCTTACATTTTTGTTTGTTAACAGGAATACTAGTTTTACTTCTTTTATTATATTTTATAAAACATGTACTGTATCTTTTTAGCCTCAGTATGTAAAACACCACGAAAAGTAGTCAAAAGAAGGCTTATTATGAATGTAAAGGCCTTAACACCAAGGTGCAAACTTTTATACAATGAATATAAAAAAGTTAGAAACCAAAAAGACTACAACACACGAGTCAAAAGGGCACTGGCCTTCAGTAAAAGTGAGTGTTTAGAAGAAGTTCTAAATAAGATAAACCCATTGTCGAGAAAGGTTCAGTCAATGCAAATGAAACTGCATGAAAAAAAAGATGGCCAGAAGTTTTACAACCGAAAAGAAACTTATTGCTCTTTCAATTTACAAGCAAGGTCCAAAATGTTACAAGTTTCTCTAAAAGATATTCATTTTGCCTTCAAAACCAACTTTGAAGAACTTGATAAGCCAACTAAATATTGGTGCTGGCATAAATCCACAAATATTCGACCTTATAAAAAATCAGCTAAATATTTAATAATTACTTAAGCAAGTGTTGTAAATATTGGTAGTATGTAATAAAATTATGAAAAACTTATATTTTACTATAAAATTACAGGTAAAAAGCTGGGACAGCAAAAGAAGATTGTGTACAGTGCTATTTGATGAAATGTCACTAGAAACTGCTCTAACATATTCAAAATTCAATAAAAAACATTAAAAAGAATTTCTAAAACTTGTTTTATTTATTATAAATTCGAACAGTTTTAATGTCTATAGTACAATACAGGTAGCTGGTATGTACCCTGGTGGTACTTGCTGCGGCTGAATAAACGTTACCGTTGCCTACAAATTAAAAAAAAGTTTATTCCGATACCGTCAATGGAAGCCGTAATACTATAGATACAGAATATCCGCCTACGGGTTATACCAATATTAAAAAAAATAATGTCATGTTCTTAACGTGCACTTACGTCTTAAAGACAATTATGTATATGGCACTTGGCGGTCTGTTACGTAGTAACTCTTATTAGTTTGTGGTCAACTCTCAAATCTATAATAAAATTATGAATTTAGTATATTTTTTATGTGCTTGACTGACCCAAACAGTAGAGGCTTGACCAATGTTATTTTTTCGTTCTCTGACTGATGGTCCACAACCTGTTGACCGAATCAAAGAAGACAATATGTCAAGAAGTACAAGAACAACCACAAATTAGACAGATATAGTGGCAGAATAACAACTTCAATCATCAAAGAATACCTTGTTACAACTCCGTTTCGTCTTAAAAAAATACAGACTTTTAATGAAATAATAATTCCTTCGTGTCAATTTCGAAAAGACCTGTGGGAACACTTCGGACCATAACTTAAAATAAACACGCAACATTATGTTTCGTTATCAATATTACAGATTAATGAACAGAATGTTATGGTACTCAATGAGGTCTTTAAATGTACCAGCTTATTCTGAAAATACTACGGTTTTAGGCATTGAAACTTCTTGTGACGATACTGGTTGTGCTGTTGTGAATGGTGCAGGTAAAATTTTGGGAGAATCAATGTTTAATCAAAACTTGTTACATTTGAGATATGGTGGTGTAAACCCTGTAGTAGCTTATGATCTTCATCGGGATAATATAGAGACTGTAGCTACAGAAGCCCTAAAAAAAGCTAGTCTATCCATGAAAGATGTTGACGCTATTGCTGTAACTACTCGACCCGGTTTACTAATTAGTCTGCAAGTAGGAGTGAAATACTCGAGGTATCTCTCAAGAATTTACCAGAAACCTATATTACCTATACATCACATGGAGGCACATGCTTTAGTGGCTAGAATGTTTTATAACATTCCATATCCTTTTCTAGTTCTTTTAATATCAGGTGGACACTGTTTATTAGCTGTTGTTAGAAATACTAATGATTTCGTTTTACTTGGGCAGAGTTTAGACAATGCACCTGGAGAAGTAATGGATAAGGCTGCAAGGAGAATGAAACTTCGAAATATACCAGATTATTCAAAAGTTTCAGGAGGCAGGGCTATTGAGTTAGCTGCAATGAAGTCTAAGAAACCTGAAATGTTTCAATTCACAATACCTCTAATCAGGAATAGAGACTGTAATTTCAGTTTTAGTGGGCTTAAAGACGCATTGGTACGTATTGTCTTGAAGAAAGAAGAAGAACATGGAATAATGGGTAGTGGCATTATACCAGAGGTTTATGACTTATGTGCAGCATTTCAACTTACAATGGCTGAGCACATTTACCATAGAACAGAAAGAGCAGTTTTATTCTGTGAAAAGACTAATCTATTATCTAGTCAATACAAAAATATTGTTGTATCTGGTGGTGTTGCCTGCAATGATTTTATGTTTAATTCATTAAAGCTTCTTGGAGATAAATTAGGGTACAATGTGTACAGACCTCCTCTAAAGGTGTGTACAGACAATGGCATAATGATAGCTTGGAATGGAATTGAAAAACTGAGACAGCAAGAAGATACCAATATAACAACAAGCATACAACTTCAAGACATTGAACCTACAGCCCCATTAGGCACAAATATAATAGATAAAGTTATAGCTGCCAATTTACCAACTAAAGTTACAAGGTTACTTAAGTTATTTAATGGTAATAAATTGTTGGAAAAATAAATGGCAATTTATTTTAGTGTGCATTTGCAGGGTCCCATGCAATACAACATAAGATACAAGAATATCTTCCCTCTTATATACAATTAATGTTTAGTGTCTGTCAGGATGGCTGGACCATAAGAGATATATAAATCAAACTATGCTCATTATTTACTACCTATTTTCTACTATTTAGTACCTTTATTGACATATTTTCTACCTTTGCGCTAACGGAAATATTAAAGAAAAAAATGGCCAGCCATTCTGATGTCAAGTTGGCTGGACCACTTTGTTTTTCATATTGCTAACAATACCTTTGCAGGCGCTTAGAATATGCCAACAATGGTTTCTACATTATCTTTGCAAGCAATATTTTGTACCAATTAATATATTAATTACTACTTGAATTCACTATTACAAATGTCAATTCCATTTGTAGGTATTAAGGCTGAAACAGGTGCTGGATTGATGAATTAGGCTCTTTTAAATTAAATTCTTGATAATAATAGTCCAATCATCACAAAAAAATATATGATTGCTAGTAGTCCTTAAATAATTGAATGTATTGAGCAAAACTACAATTTATTAAGCTCTTTTTACGAATTAAAATTTACAGTTACGTTTCGTTCAAATTGAATAAAAACCAATTTCTCTTTACATGCAAACATCCATTGTTTATAAAATTTACAGGAAATTTCATTTCCCAAGTTGACCCTACCGATAATCGAACCCGGGACCAAGACTTACGGAATACATTCCGCGGCACTACCCAGAACACCTAGTCCAAAACCATTTTAGAAAAGTTCATTTCCCAAATTGGTTCTATTGGGAATCGATACCGCGACCAAGAGTTACGGAATGCACTCCGTGGCACTACCCAGAACATCTAGGCCAAGATCATTTCAGAAAAGTTAACTTCCCAATTTGGTTCTACCGGGAATCGAATCCGGGACCAAGAGTAACGTAATAGAAAGAAAATAAAAAACTAAGAGAGTAACATGGAATAACACCACAACTGATCCAAAAATTATCACAAATATTTGCCCTCGTGACGATGAACCCGTGCTTCAACCAGAAAATAGTACTCCAACTTCAATTAAAACTACTTATTCTCGCTGTTTAGATTTTGACGGATTTGATGTTAACAATTTAGTTAATAAAGTATCTATTTTAATACACTTTTATTTAACCTCGCGCAAAATACGTATCATTGTGTATTGTTGGTATTTTGCGTATTGGTCGTATTCACTTTTATTCCTTTTTGTTATTAGTCTTAAGTATTTATTCACGTATTGTATAAAACAAATTGAATAATACATTAAAAGCATTGACTTTATGCATAAAAGTTATACGTTCGATGACGCATAATTAATTAGTAAATATTGACGTTTGTTAATAAATGCATTTAAAATACAGCGAATAAAACTTTTCTACTTCTCTTATAGTTGAAAATAGTAGCATTAGTTGTTAATTGATAGGATGTAACGATCGAATCATTGCATGATTTATCTAATACTTTCACTATTATGTAATATTAATAAAAATATTATGTTATGTTTATTTTACGATGGTTTATTCTCGAATGTCTCTGAGGGAACAATAATGTAGGTATAGATTGCAAAAAAACACTTATGACACGCCTGTATTCCAGTTTACAACTTATCTTTATTTGACTTTGTGCGAGTACAAGAGCGTTCTCGATAGATGGCGTATAAAATTGTTACTAATGGTTAGAGGTCAAATTACAGACATATATCTAGATATAGGTACATATATCTCGAAATTCATACAAAAACAAAATAATCGTTTTTAACCCTAGATTACTAACCTTATTTTTCAACGCTTATTACGAACCTTCGTCGTTTCGACTACGCTTATAAAAAAACGGATTTCACAGGTTTTGTGAAATAAAATATGTATATTTCTTGTGTTTATTTTTTATAACACTTATGTACCAATATATTATTATGCTTTTATTATTATTATGCAACATATTCGTTAGAAACAGTCTGTTATATGAGATCATAGTTTTCATGCAAAATCTACATTTATGAAATATTTAAATTGCCTACATATTAAATTTATAAAGACAATGTTTGAAAAAAAACTTAAATTATTAAAATTAACAAAACAAATGAACTAAACAACAAAACATTTTGGTACAAATCTGGGAACTAAAACATTTGTGACATACTTGAAGTTTGCTTTCACAACATTTTTTTGTATTTAGTGCATTGATTGTATGATTTAGTGCAACTGCTTTTCGCTTTGCAAAGGAACACATCACACAGATTTTTTTCTTCTTTAGTTTAGGAATACAATGCATCTCTTTCTTCAGTTTCAAGTGTCAACTACTTCCTGGTATTTTCATTGAGTCATGCAGAGCCTCCAAGGGTTGACATTGTTAATCTTTTTTGCATGTGTGACTCCCCTTTTTAAATGTTGGCATCTCAATAAAGGCCTTTTCCTTTGCATCCATAATATTAGTTACATAAATAACATAATTATTTATGAATGCAATGTTGAGAATTCTATAAAAACTGTACTACAAAGACCATCGCGCGTCATCGGTTCGACGAAGGTTCGTAATCTAGGGTTAAAATAAATGATGCATCTTCTGATTACAAAATCACTTGCCCGTGGAAGGAAACGTCCCTGTTTACCCGTTTCCCACAGTAATGGTGCTTTTGCAGTTTATAATGGCACAATAATGCGATTTTCGCGTTTTCGACTGGTGTTTATCTACAATAACGGTCGAGCGAATTATGAAGACTGCGACTGGAGGACTAAAAAAAAAACAATTTATAAAAACTTTAATTGAAATTATTCCTAAGCCAAATTACAAGTGTTTGCGTTCGATGCTAATCATCATAATGCCAAAAATAAAATATAATTAATAATGGATTTTATAAACTAGGTTACACCGGTTTCGATATAGCTGATGCGGCGCTTGATCGATGCGTGCTGGAATCGATGTTGAAATATCCTAATGCAATCACAGCTTTTTACTTGGGGTTGGTATATGTAACACCTCCACCCTTAGAACATCTTGAGAGCAAAAGTTGCTGGAGTACTTTTACATGTTTCCGATTTCCCAAAAACTGCATAGGCTCCTCCGTTTTTATCTCGGGCCTTTCTGTGTGGCTTCTTCGGTAACAACGTCGCACAAATATGAGAACGGCCTGTGCAAGTGCACTTAATAACACTCCATAGAATGGTATCGTAGTGTGGTAAACAATATCGGAAGGTGGCATCAAATGCACAGTAGGTTGCAACATGATTTTTTCTTGTAGGTTTATTATGAAATCCTTTGAGATTAAGTCCAGATTGATGTGAGGGTGTGAATTCTGTGTCGCCGCATCCATGTTTTCATTATCTTCATTGGTTGGCCTTCGACTTGGTCTTTGGTGTTTTTGATAGTGAATTCATCTGTACGTAATAAACAATTCACAGGAACAGTAGATAGGAAGCTACCTCTTATGATGTTGAAATCTTCACGTCCACATGTGGTAGGTACATTGGTGAGTCGCGAAAAGGAGAGTACGTAGTGACTTTCGTCCAGTTTTTCTACGGCTTCCTTGGATAGGCTGATTATAGTCGTATTGCAGGTCGTATCTACAGATTGATTAGTTAATATGTTCTGGATATAGTCAGCTTGCGTTCGTTCGGACTCGGATGTTCATCTTCTCTTCGCAGATAAACCAGTTAGTGAGCTTCGGATACGGTGAGCTGGTTGCTATTAAGGGATATGGAGTGATATTGATTGGTTTAACTTATTGGGAAGGAAGGAAAATCTATACAACTCATACCTATCATTATCTACTATTGGAAATTTGTATGTTAAAAGTAACCTTTTACCTATAAAATAATAACCAGGCTTAATTACGTCATAGTATTCTCGATATTCTAAGTCTTACGTTTCCTTTACTATAAATTAACTCTAATTAGTCTATCATTTTTTCCAGTGTGTGTACATGAAAGCTGGAATATTTTGTAACCGAAGTAATTCCGCTAGAATATCGTCAGTATTTTCTGTAATAATTGTTAACAATTGGGCAAATTTGGCATATTTAATTAAACTTGATTCTCGGTAGACATCTTCCTTCAAAAGTAATTCTAATGTAGACTTAACTTACTACTGTGTTGTGCCATCCAATCTTTACTGGTACTAATATTATTGTTGAATTCATCTGTAATTTTTAATTGACTATTCTGGAGAGCTTTTATGGCATCATCGTATTTAGCAGCATCTAAATAGTCGAGTTTACCTGAGATGCTCTTAATAATGGAATCTAAGCCGTTTACAAGACTTCTCCTGTTGCGTTTAGGTTCTAAGCTACTTAAATACCTTATGATTTTTTGAAGTTTAAGGGAAAGATATTCAATCTGTAATTCATATAGAACATAGGTATCAATGGTATCATTCGGTAGTCTAGTTGTAAAGTCTGTAAGGTCGTTTTTTATCCTCAATATTGTCAAGTTGCATGTTCCTTCCTCGAATCTCAGTGAGTGCTGACGTGTGGCTGTCCCATATTATAATTTTAGTAAATCAAAAATCGTAATAATTTTAGTAAATTTAATTAAGCGAAAATACTAGGAGCGCAGAAGAATAGTGAAACTTCAACAGCAGGCGCGGGCGACTTACGCATACACGGACGCTCTATATCCAAAAACAACTACAAATAAATAAAGTAAGCAACTTCCCTTGTTTATGTGTACGCTGCAGAAAGGAGATAGCACTAACACGCCGGATGCAAGCGTTATTGAGAGATCGATATATGTTTGTCATTTCATCTTTCCGTATTGGTTGTTTCAAACACCTCATATTAGGCAGAGGTCAAGTTAAAGTGACGGAAACAAAATCTGTATGAAATCCTCGATCGATGACCAGTCGCTTGACCCGTAGGTACGTCTCAAAACAAGATCTGTGCTCTTACTAATTTCTTATTGCTTGGTACCGATACAGCAAGATTCTACTATTGCTAATAAATATGCCGTACGTCATTCCCCTTCTCGCCCCTCACCGTCGAATACACCGACGACAACTGCAGTGAAT